TCTACCACTACGAAGAATAGTACAATTAGCTTTATTCAAGAAAGAAGATGGGAAAACAAAAATATGTTTATCCTTACGAAACAACCCTCAAAAACCATATTACCTTCACAACCAAGGAATGGGAGGAAAAGGAAACATAGATGGAAACAGAAAGACATGCGAAACTGCAAAAGCAACCATACTCTGAGAAACCTTTGAAGAAGCCAACATTGTATTGAATGAAACCAAATTAATAAACATCTGGTCAGAAACAGCATTAAGTACTATGGAATGGACTTCACAAAGAAATTGTCCTACCTTAGAAGCAAAATATAGAATCGAAAGAACAGTATTCATATATCCTGCAGACGAATATATGATACCAGAACAAACGGAACCAGATAAAGCAGAACCATGGCAATGGTACACTTATGAAGAAACTTTACAATTACCATTGATTCCTATGTTTCAACAAAATATAGAATTAATATTCGCAGAAATAGAAGCATATTACCAAGAAGAATATCAAGAATATCACTCATCGCCACTGAACGACGAAACAGAAATGATGCTCTTAGGAGGTCCTGGTATATTACGGTTTTTTTATTCATCCAAATCTCTACCGGGACCAAACAAAGTACCTGATGATGCAATGATGATTAGTATTGTTGATGACTATGATAAAACTTTTCATCAACATTATTCTAAATTTAAGGGGGTTCAATTGAAGGAATACGTTTATGATAATAGTATTCCATTCATTATTTACATGAGGAAAATTTTGCATTATGAATTAAGGAATAAGTAGCTGCGCGATACAGTCGCGCTAAACCAGGAACGGATATATAGAAGTAAATTAAAAATTTTGGTATCTACCATCGAATTCGGATACTTAAATAGATATTTGGTACATGATTAAATACAGCATAACTATATTAATATGAGACGCTATAAAATAAAAATGAAATTTACAAGATCTTAATGAAATTTGCAAATTTGCATATTTTCGATGTCAGATATAATAAAAATTTAATACTATGGCTGATAACTAATTATTGTGCTCATATATAAATTATACAGTCATATCTGAGTTATATCCCCACTTACAATAAATGAAAATTAAAAATTTACTTTTCTCAAATATTTTTTTGTTAGATGTATCTCACTAAGGGCTTTTATTTAAAAAAAAGTTACAAAAAATGTTTTTTTTTGTTTTTAAATTTAAAACTTTTACTAAATTGTATAATATATGATTTATATCAGAGATATCCAAAGTAAGGATGCATCAGTCTGGTCTAGTCTAGAGTTAATACTTCAATCCGACTATAAATATATCCGGATTGATATTTTGGTATAAATTTATAGTAAAACATAATATTTATATCCGAATACATTCGGATATAAAATAAATTCGGATATAAAAACATAGTAAAGTACTTGGTCCTAGTTCTAGTAAGACTATTACTAATAGAATTTTTAATTGTAGTTTAGTCTGTTCTAAATAGTTTTTTTAATGATTTATTAGACAAAAATAATATTAAAGAGTTAAGAATACTGAATAGTAGAATTAAAATTAAAATTAAAATATTCAAATAGACAATTTTTCTAGTTAGATTACACGGGTGCGGGTCAAAATCCCGACAAACAGAATCCCGACAGGGGCTTATGTATCGATCAACGTCTACCCGGAGATTTTCTAGGTAGTTTCTGAAAATAGGTAAATTATTTCGTTTCAAGATTTTCTTTGCGTCTGACAAGATTTTCATCAGATCATCGCATGATGACAA